TATGTTTTTGTCCCAACTACAGTTTGGAATTTCTGTACTATTGTTGGGACTGTACAAACAGTAGTTGGGACTGCCCAAACTATAGTTGAGACATTTGATTTAGTTTGGGCGTAACAACTCCAATCAACTACATAATATGAAGGGAACGTTTTGCAATTGATGTGAGAATTCTTGTTGGCACACTTGAGCCTAATCACAAAACAGATCAGAGTGTGTGACAAACTGCCAAGTTGAATTTCTAGAAAAGTAGAATCTATTTACGCAGTGGCTTAAACCAGTTTGTGCAAAAATTCCACATTGATCTTTTATAATTATGTACAATGTGATAAAAATGGAAATTATTGAGAAAAGTACAATTCCCCTTGACTTCTCTGTCATTCCTTATTTCTCCGAAATAGTCAGAGCAATTTCAAACTCAATGGGTAACAATCACAGGATGCACAACCCAAAATTATCTAATAAGATTCCCAATTCGATTCACTAATTCTATCATGAAGTCCTACAAAGTGTGCTAAAAGACTACGACAGGCAACCAAACTAATAAACTATATAAACTAATACAGAAGTATAATCACCACGGTCCTACAACGATACAACCACAGACTATCGCAAGCATTTTTTTCACCCACGTCTGGCTTCCAAAGTCTAACCAAATCCTCTTGTCATTGTCATTGCAACTCCATGTCACGTTGGTAAATTTTCACAATCATGTTTGTTTTAGGGGTCAGTAAATACATATTCAGAAATAATATCTGTAAATGTGGCCTATGATGTAAGTTCACCAACAAATTAGACCAAAGAATTTCATCAAACCAGGGATCCTTCGCACACTGCTTTTTTTCCCCAGCTTGAGTTACGTTACAAATCAACTACAGGGTTCCAACAGAAATCTAAAAATAAAATCCCATGACTTTTCCTTGATTTTCCATGATAGCTTTAAATTCCAGAATTTTCCAGGATTTTTCCATGCCTGTGGGAACCCAGCAACGATAGTTGACCACTGGTCCGTAATCACACTTTGTTGTAGGTCACATTTAAATTACATTGCTTCTTTGGCAGTAACACACATGTGTGTACAGGGAGGGGCTTTCATTCTTTTCCATGTAAGTGGCAAACCGTAGCCATGTAATTTAGGTCCTGCCTTAATCGATTGAATCAGAGGGTAGATACTCAGGAAATCAGAAGTAAAAACTAAACTCTCGTGACAGTAATGAGGTTAGGACCCATACAATTAATTCTCCCCTTTTCAATTTGGCCTACCTCCAACCTAGACAGCTCCCTGGTGTAGACGTCGATGCTGTCTTGGTCATAGAGGACAAAATACACCTGCTTGAGAGACGAGGACATAACGGTCACAAAGTACTTGCTGATGGTCTGCAGGATGGTCTCAGCTGCAGTCTGTTTGGGAAACCCATTCCTGAAGCAGAGAGAAAATTTTCATCATTAAGGAATGAAATATGTAGGAAGTTATCATGGAGACATGGATGCATTTCACATGAGGTGAGATTTCCAATGATACAAAACTTGTTAAATTGAGACTCCTGTTCAAGACTTGAGACTTGAATGAAGGCATGCCCTAAAAGGGGTGAGACATGGATTAAAACTTGCTCTCAAAGAGTTCAGAGTTGAAGGAAGACTTTCTGTCAAAGACTTGAGACTTGAAATGAGACTTGTTCTAAAGACTTGAAACCTGAATCGAGTTTTGCTCTCACAGAGTTGGGACTTGAATTGGGACTTTCTCTCAAAGACTTGAGGTATGAGATGAGACTTGTTCTCAAATGGTTGAGACTTGAATGAAGATTTTCAAAGACAAAGAAACCCTTCTGATCGCCGACATGGTTCCAGAACAGAACGCAATTCCACTTCGGACCTCCGATCTCGCGGGGATCCGAGAGAAGTGCAACACACAATTTCTCTTCCAACAATGGACTCGCATTCGACAACACGCATTCATAAGGCTCCAGTACTGCTGGATGGTGATCCTAATCGGTCGAGAAACCAAGCCGATATGAGTAGGCACCCTTCGAACAGGACACAGCTTTCCTCACAGGCATCACAAGATACGCTTCCTCCATCAACATCACCGAGTCGTCCTTCTCATGTTATCATATCTGATGCGTCACAGGCCCACCATAATTTAGACAGGAGTCGAGAAGACAGTACCAAGAAACGCTCCTCCTACACTTCCGCCATTGAAAACCAGCAAGATGCAGAGTGGCAACAAATTGCACCATCGGCACCCTCCTCAAGACGATATCACAGCGAGAAAGTTGCAAGAGAGGAAAGACCAAAGAAGATGAAGCCATGTCTGGCTTATCATCACCTTGAACATGTCGAAGACGCTGAAGACGAATTTGGGTCAGACAAACACAGACTCGAGACTTTTGTTTGAGACCAAATTAAACTTTCATCACGCAGGAACCAAAATCAATTGGTCAGTTAGCATGTAAACGTTTGCCTCAAGGACATTGGCAGGTCCTATCTTTGGAGGGCGCCTTTTAGGGAGATACGGAGATGAATTAACAAGTTATTCGTGGAATGTTTGGAGAGAAGTTGCCCTTATTGTAAAACTATTCGAAATTTGTATACATACTCTCGGGATTGCAGTCGCTTTGCAAAAATCGCTGTCTGATCAAAGTATTGCAAGTTTTGAAAGAAAAACTGTGATTTGAACCACGCCTCTTTCCTTCGCGCCATTCAACCGTCTAGCCTTAGCCATTTTCTAACTGAGCTTAAAAGCGACCAAGTCGCATGTTTAATGTTACTTGACCGTATAATTTTATATCATAGGCTAACTGTACCATTTATACATATACAGAAACCCACAGTTTATACACAAAACAAATTACAATCATATGAGTAATGTATCGGTTATTATTGTCTGTTCATAATGTGAGATAAATTGGGAATGCAATAGTTTGTGGCGATTACAAATTTCGAATAACTTCTGTCATACTTCACAAAACAGTTTAAGTTGTGCGTAAGAAAAGTACGCTTTTCACGTCATTATGACGTAAATCGTTAAGTCTCGCACATATTCTCTTTAAAGGTGAAGTATAAGTCAAGATTTTACTGTAATTGTGATGATTTCTTAAAACTCGTTTCGGGAGGTATACAAATATGTTATGTAAGGTAATGTCTTTTGTCAATTATACGCCCACTCTGCCAAATCTCCTAAGCGTATTATAAAAATTAAATGTCTTGTATTTGAGGTTGTGACAGTACTTAAAGTCACAAATTTTATTATGAAGATGATATGCTTAGTAACCTTAATTTACTTGTCTATGCTAAACAATATAACAATATAGTATAGAATTGTTTTCATAAAACAAATATTTTTGAAAAGCAAGAAACACGCAAATAATTAGTCATCTCCATAAAACTGCGTCGAAAAAAAATCCTACATAAAAATAATTGCATAATGCGATATTCATCAGTTCGGTCCGAGAGCAAATATTATATAAAGTCGGGTGTTTTTACATTTACACACGCCAGGGATGGTGAATATTAACTTGAGTAAGCCGACTTGACCTGGAATTTATTGAAATTAAACCCGCTCACGTCGACTTTGACCAAAACCCCGACATAAAGTATTGTTTGCTATACTGCGCACCATTATGTAGTGTTTGGCTTAGGGTCAAATGTCAACTGCAATATACACGGTGATAAGCGGATTGGTGGGTTTTATTTGCTTTTTGCGGGAGCACTCGATCGCAGACCTTTAGACGAGCGTCGCGTATGATATATGAATGTGCTTGATAGTATACTGCTTTACAAAAGGAAGAATCATGAAATGTATTCGCGGATTGGTAATGAGGGAGATATCGGTGGAATATATGTCGCCCTCTGTTGAGAAGTGACGAAAACTGACACGAAATTATTGCAATTTGCGTAAAATACCTTTGCTTTTAATAAACCTCAAATTCCCACTTCCCAAGCGGATTCGCATTTCAAGTGCATCGGCACGTAATTGTAAAGAAAAAATATAAACGAATTATAAATATCGATTGAATAAACCATGCAACGAACGCTATACGAGAGATACGACCCGAGAATAATAATATTTCAAGTTAATTTGCTTTTTGTAGCATTACGTGGATTACTTTTCAATTGAGATATTCCACATACAGTAAAACAATCAGCCACAGATAAGTGAAAGAATAAAGCAGTTTCAAATGTTGATGATAAAGAGAAACGGGAAACGGAAAGATATATTTTATTTTGGGAATACAAATGTTTTATTTTTACCTCATTAGTATTCACAACTTGCATTTACTTATAGGAATCTACCGCTCCAGTTATACACACAGCCATCATAGCAGTACAATCACACTCAAATCTAAATCAATCAAATAAAACATTAAAACATTTTGACTTTCTCGTTAAACTTCTGAGAAGATTAATGTTCGGTTTACAAAACAATGTACAAACTGAGCAATATTTTTGTAACTACTTCCGACTTATTATTTGAAAGCTTTTGTAACATTTAATCGATAGGAACATTTCTAAAAATCGTCTATGATGAGTATCTCTTTGCAAAAAATAAGGTACATAATACCAGCCAGTGAAAAACTCAATAGGCTACAAAGCATATGACTTGAGATCAAGAATTAATTGCATTTACACAACGTACAAAGAAATCAATTTTGACTTTCTTTTAACTCTGTAAAATTATGTATCCATAAAGTGAATTTTATATGGTACATAACACCAAAATGACATACAAATTCAGTTAATAAGTCCCTCTCTCCTTGCATTCTATTGAATGTATATGTAATCAATTTTGTTCATCAATAGCGAGCTATTAACCAGCCAGTGACTAGAGCTAAAACATAGCGAGCAAAAACGATATAACAATACGAAAAGGCTGGCTGCATTTGTATTTTTCTACTGCAGCAGCCTCAAAAACAACGACAACAGTACAGGGCGTGTTAGTCTCCGACTGCGCACATTTTTTAAAATAACGTCTAAGTACCAAACACTGCATAACAGTGTCTAGTTTAGTCCACCTTCTTATCCAATCCAACCATCTCGGCGCTCATCTCCCACAAGCGGCGGGCGTTCTCGCTGTTCACGTACTGCTTGTTGGTCTTGGCAGGAACGCACTCACTGAAAAGATCAAACGAAAAACGAAGTTGTCACTCAGTTTCACTTACTAAGCATTTCATTTTTGTCATAGCTATAAGAAGTACATGAAATTGGGCCCGGGGTAAAGCCTGTGTAAGCACAAAATGCATAAAAAAAAGTTGCTAGCAAAGTTTAGCACGCACATTATCCATTTGATGTCCACAAAATAATATCGAAGTAGTAATGTTCTGCAAAGTCGCAACTTTCCAGGCTCATGGACCATTGCACAACAGTGAGTCCTTTTGCGAGCTCGATACACGTGCATCCTCCGCAAGCCCGATGGATATCGTGGCAACGACCATAATCAAATAAGATAATCCAGGCTAAAAGCATACCGTGTGCCTCTGAATACTTTGAAAAATAAAGACATTTTTTTCATAGTAGGCCTACTCTATCATCATCGTGTCACCAACCTGTAGTACTGGCCAGTAGTGTTCTTCAGTTCCTCAGACACGGCCAAGTGGATGGTGGTCTGCGCGCCCTGCACAGCCGTCTTACGGAAGAAATTACCGATGGGAGAGCACATGATCCTGAAGAAGATTCTCCATGGAAGACTCATGGCCTTCTGCGTGTGGCGCGTGAGCTCAGTCTCGATAGTTCCTGGATGCAAGGAGTTGGCTGTCACCTGAGTACCTATGAAGTCAATTAAGAGATCAAATATTGCGCAAATAAACAATCGTTAACTTTGGGGTTTGAATTTATATTTGAATGTCCAACCTCTCCCTGTTTTATGACTTCGATTTTGAAACTTACTTGAGTGCCAAATCTATACTGTAAATTATTTTGATCCATCATAGTTGGTTTGTTTTGAGCTATCTCAAAGGCCATCGGAAGATTTAAGTATATATTCTTAAAATCGACTGCCTAGAGACGTTTCTGTAGGTCAGTATTTGGCCGTGGGCGGACTTGGGGCTCAGCTTTAGGTACTGGATGGTCAAAGGGGAGAGGAGTAAAGTTTATCTCAACCCGTACATCTATGTCTTTAAAACCCTGCATTAATGAGGAAACAATACATCTGCACGCTACTTTACCTTTGAGACGTTTCGCTAGCTCAACGGTGAAGAGAACGTTGGCCAGTTTGCTTTGCCCGTAGGCCGCCACCGGGTCGTAGTTCTTCTCCAGGTTGATGTCATCCCAGAACATCTTGGCGTTATTGAAGTCGTGGGCGAGGGAGGATACGTTGACGATGCGAGCAGGGGCGGAGGATTTGATGATATCCAGCAGGAGATTGGTCAGAAGGAAGTGGCCCAGATGATTGACACCAAGCTGCATCTCGAACCCATCTTCTGTCTTCAGCGGTGGGCACATCATGATTCCTGTACACGGATTCATGACAAAGAAAGTGAATAAAGTCATGGTTTTTGATCAACAGACTCAGAGGGAATATAGAAAAACATAATGTAAATTTACGTGAAGGTTACATCAAAAACTGTCATTAGAATTTATTCTAATGAAACACAGAAGTTAACGTATACGTGTTGAAAAAAAATGTATAGCTCACTAACAGTTATGGAGGGTAATCTTTCTATTTCATTGCCTTTGACTTACTTTGTTGCATGTCAAAAGGCCATTGAAGTATTCTTTACCTGCATTGTTGATGAGTATATCCAGCTTTTTCACCTCTGCCTTGATCTTCTTGGCGCACTCTCTCACCGAGGCAAGAGAAGCCAGGTCTAGTTTGCGTACCGTCACCTTGTTGTTACCCGTGGCAGTACGAATCTCAGAGGCGGCTGCTTCGGCTTTGGGCAGATCACGGCAGGCTATGATCACACGAGCACCTGGAAAAGTCAAAACAAGACTAGGAATCGCGAATTTTGTATTTCAGCAAGACCTTAATTCATCTGCGGTAGCAGAAAAGCAGACAGCAGTTTTGACTACTGCAGGTTGCGACATAATATCATGCTGCTGGGGCTACCTTACTGTTATTTTTGCTATTACTGCTGCTTGTGTTTCTTTGCATTGTGCATAATGTTGCTGATGGGGATACGATGGTGATACTTTGCAGTCGCAACTGCTACTGTTGCCGTTAGCTACTTATTGGCGAATCGCAATTTTCTTGTCCTGTTGCTGCTCTTGTTGCTACTGCTGTGTTTTGTCTTCTCCCTACGCGGCATGCCAATCAGCTTTGTTGCTACTGTTTTGTGCTTGCTAGTTGGTTGGCTTTCTTGCTTATTACTTGATTGTTTGATTGATGTCCTTAAACAGAAGAATATATCTACCTCGTCTGGCCATGTCCTTTGCTGTCTCCTTGCCAATGCCAGTGTTGGCTCCTGTGATGACAACCGTCTTGCCGTCCAGGCGAGCATTGCTGTAGCACCATCCACCTGCCACCCATCTCCGCACAAGCCACAAGACCACAACGACACCTGTAAAGACATTCAAACGAAGATCCACAGAAAGAAAGGTAGCAAGTCAATGGTCAAGACAAGTTTTGTCCAGTTAATTTCACCGCCAAGAAAGAATTATTATAGAGAAACTATAATGACAATCAATTGGCTTACGTATATGCCCATCCATCAACCAACCCAATAGACCATTATCATGTAGGGGCATCTTGATTTTTCCCATTCAAATCAACGTGACCAAAGCGAGGCTGGAAGGGGAAAATAGTCTGGTTCCTTTTTTTGCACAAAATAAATTATCATTCAGTACTGTTATTGGATAATTATTCTTACAGGTAACATGACTGAAATGGTGGCAGCCATGATAAAGGTCTATAGGAGAAAGAACATGACAAGCATAGATCTGCCTTGTCGAGCTGCAGGCCAGATCTGCATGAAAGCCTCATTTTAGGACGTTTTAGTCGGTCAGTTGTCAGTCACTGTCAGTGACTCAGTCAGTTAGTCAAAGGACAGTAGGCTGGTCATTGGGTCCGACATTCTAATGTACCATTAAAACAAACTATTAACTCACCGACAACCACCGACGCAGCAATTGCAGGGTCCACGCTCCAACCGAAGATATCCAGCTTGTTCATGGTTTGGTTAGGTTGTAACGCTATTACGCCACTCAGGAATATTCCTATCTGCCTAATCAGCTAGGTGTTTTATTCTGAGGTCAGTGGCTCCGTTCTCTTGAAGTCAAAGTAACCTATACATAGATGAGAAAATAAAGTAAACGTTCGGTTGAAACCAAGAGAAAATAGATTTTCATTCACCAATTTACACAAAACGCTCAACAATTATTGAAGCATAATTTCTATACTATTACTAATGGTGGTGGAATATACCTCCTGAAAATTAAACACATTTACGAATTGGTTTCTTCCCATATCCATTAGACCGTCTTCTTCCTATTGGGGCAAGCAACAGCCTTTATAAAGTGCTGGTAAAACGTTCAATGAACGGGCGGGGCAAGAGCATTTCCTGAGCGTTTTAACGCTTGTGTTGAAATCTGTACTTTCGAAGAAGCATATTCGTTGAAATTTAGTGCTGTGGTGGTACGGTACAGATAAAATATACCTACCTTGAAAATATCACCAAATGTGTCGGTGAGTATTCAGAATTGAATGCATCAGCTGTATGTGTGCAACAGGAAAAATCTGCCTTTATATAGACTCCCCAGACAAAAAAAATGCGCTTGGTCATTCCGCGTGTCTGACCTATCAACCTTTAGACTCACATCGACGAATCGAAAGCGTCCAGACTCAATGATAACGATGGCAGTATGCTATCCGAATAAGTTCAATGTTAATCATTCATTACACTCAAGCACGCAAACGAAGATAATGTCTCGAACAAAGTGCGAAACTGGTGTCGGGGTAGACCTAAGGTTTACATAACCTGTGGCCTCTTTGCAGGGTCGGAAGCGGGCCCCGAACCCCACGCCGTAATTTTTTTGACCCGCTTTTTGGGGGGACCAAAATTTTTTTTGGCCCCCCAAAAAATTGTGTTCTGGATCCGCCCTTGTGCGCCACTGCCTAGTGCTTGCAGCATTCGGTCGGCGCCAAGTTAAAGTTGCCTCTGAAAATTATCTCATGTGACTTGGCCTTTAGTAGACCCATGTGGATGCAAGGATGTCATTATCGCTTTACAGAAGCCGTATACACGTTAATGGTCGCAATGATTATTTTTTACAAATGACTGTAGATTCTCAGCATTGTCGGCTGACTGAAAAGCAGAAACAATCCAAACTTCGCATAATGAATAGACAGAGTTGAAAACATTAAAGGTGATGATGCCTGTGACGTGATGGTGAAGAACCTTTCTCAGGAACTGTCCAACAAGGTTCCATGACCTTTTGTTTGACGTGGAATAGAAGTAGATAGACTGCACCTAAAAGTCTATGACATTGCAAAAATGGCTGAGGCATGTATACATAACAAATGACTGAATGGCCAAATCATGATGCAGGACCAAGTCCGTGTGTGCGGGTCGGGGACCTTTTTTTCGGTCGGTGGAGTTTGAACTCAGTGAACTGAATGGCTTCTTACATTTGGCATTTTTGTGAGGTAGGCAGACCTTTTCAAGTAGATTTTGAACATGGTGGTGAAACTGCAAAATCACTATTACTCTCAAGGGTTGTTCACAGTCCGGCTTATCTTTGAAAAAAAATAGCGATGCCATGAAAGAAGTTGACAACGAACTTGAAATGGTAGTAAATGTTTTTCTTCGTTGCCGACATTTTAAATTCTGAGCATTATTTTATTGGTCTACTGTTTATGACTCGTACTATTTTCATGTCCCTGTAAATATGATCTTCAGTTTTCTTTGTTGCTTGTTAATCCACGTATTGCACAATAATCGTATAAGAAATTTGCGTCTCAAATGTCCCTTCGCGGCCACCATAACATAGGCACATGGACGCAAAACTTTTCTCAAGAATTAAGACGTGAGAAATGCGCGGCACCACCCTACACCTCTCACCAAAAATCTGGGGTTTGTTCACTAGCCAATCAGCGGCGTGCTTTCAAACTTGTTCAGCACTGTCGACATCTTCGTTTTTGAGTCGTGTACCTTGTGGTCATCGTTGTGTTTTACTTCGAATTTCTCTCTTATTATTAATTAACTCTGCCCTCTTTCCATTTAAAAAAAATCTTGTTGATATTCAATATGGTATCACTGTCAGGTGTCAAGACGAGTCCGAAAACAACAGTACATGTACACAAGGGCGGATCCAGAACACAATTTTTTGGGGGGGGCCAACAAAAAATTTGGTCCCCCCAAAAAGTGGGTCAAAAAAATTACGGCGGGGGTTCGGGGCCCGCTAGGGCCCCAAAAAATTTTTGGATTCTAGATGCTCTGTGGTGCGATCTGAGGCAATTTCTGACCACTTCAGCCAATGTTTTTTGAGGAAAAGATGGTGGTGTACTCATTGCTTGCCTTTATTGCGATGTCACATAAAAAAAAAAAATTGGTTTCGTTTTTTGGGGGGGCCATGGCCCCCTTTGGCCCCCCCCCCCCCGGATTCGCCCTTGCATGTACATGGTTAAGGTGAGTTAAACATACTGGTTTTCGTTCTAGCATGGGAGCTCCATGGTTCTAGTTCTTAGTAGGCCTACGGGGCCTAGGAACGACTTCCTAAAGCCTATCAAATTTTGATGTTCTATTTTCCATTTTGTCAATTTTTTGGGGGGGGGATCAGATTTATGTGATATTTCCGTCAAAGGATATTCACCCATAAATGTTCTCGCCATTTTGAAAATACACAATTTCCCGAGACAAACTATCACAAAATTGAGATGACAAGAAGAAAAGTCCATACGAAATTCTCATTCAGAACATAATTTTTTTTTTGTAATAGTAGCGTAATTGCCTAATAAAGAGCCAGTGGATATAGTGAGCTCTAAACAATAAACAGTTTGTGACTAACAAAACATGGTAATATTTCAGCAAAATTTATAAAATCTAACAAACAAAAATTATAGCTTTTGTCTCCAAGCATTTGATACTGCTGCCTATATCACTGCGTTTAAAAACTATCTTTGCAAGCATAATAAAATTTCAATAAATCTAATTTCTCTCTTGTTTACTCTTGTAAATGTATCTTATTTACAAGAATGTCTAAAACACAATACGCTGTGTTATTGAAATATTTCCTGATCCACAAAATTATAGTTGTCCTTTATTTAAAAATGTTTACTTATTTTTAAACAATCTTTGTAATACCTCAAAGGGAAACATGATTTGTATTGGGACCAGAAGTTTGTCTTGCATCCACTTTGAATGACCTTTTCCAATATACTAGAGGTCAAACTACATTGTATTTGGTTTTCCTTTTTTTTGTATAACAAACTACATTAATTCATCAGGTTTTCCAAAGTTACCTACCTCTCACAATACAGCGCAAGATTATAAATCGTATTAGGATAAAATTTATTAAAATATGAAAAATAATTTCCATGTTATGGTTTCATTTTATTTTTGGTAAAATAGATTTTGTCACATGACAACAAAATATGATGCCATCCATGAATTAAGGAATTGTTTTAATAATAAAAGGGAATTATTTTACATGGTCTGTGATTTTCTTCCCATTTTATTTCATCAAACAGGAGAATTTAATTTCTATCTCAAATCTACTGACTAATCTAATCTTGAAGCAAAAACAAAAAAATTCCAAGTAGCATCTTATTGAAAATACACATCTTCGGAATCCACCACGAGAACAGACTCAAATATCACCATACACAATTCCCTACCTAGGTTGATTTCAAACCACCACATCCACAAGGTGCTTACACAAAAAGTTTGATAAAAAGGAGAAATTAAGTCCCAATGTTTTACTTGAGATTTATGTTTTTGTTATATCTTATACCAGCTAGAAAACTGGTTAGAAGAGTTGCCAAGGTACTAGTTAGTACAAATATAAATTGGTAACCATAGGAATGAGTTGGCAAAGGTACAAGTTTAAATGTTTATGTTACGCCTAAACTATGGCATCATCCCAATTACAGTTAGGATCGTCCCAACTACAGTTTGGAATTTCTGTACTATTGTTGGGACTGTACAAACAGTAGCTGGGACTCAAACTATAGTTGAGACACTTGATTTAGTTTGGGCGTAACAACTCCGATCAACTACATAATATGAAGAGAACGTTTTGCAATTGATGTGAGAATTCTTGTTGGCACACTTGAGCCTAATCACAGAACAGATCAGAGTGTGAGACAAACTGCCAAGTTGATTTTCTAGAAAAGTAGAATCTATTTACGCAGTGGCTTAAACCAGTTTGTGCAAAAATTCCACATTGATCTTTTATAATTATGTACAATGTGATAAAAATGGAAATTATTGAGAAAAGTACAATTCCCCTTGACTTCTCTGTCATTCCTTATTTCTCTGAAATAGTCAGAGCAATTTCAAACTCATTGGGTTACAATCACCGGATGCACAACCCAAAATTATCTAATAAGATTCCCAATTCGATTCAATTCACTAATTCTATCATGAAGTCCTACAAAGTGTGCTAAAAGACTACGACAGGCAACCAAACTAAAAACTATATAAACTAATACAGAAGTATAATCACCACGGTCCTACAACGGTACAACCACAGACTATCGCAAGCATTTTTTTCACCCACGTCTGGCTTCCAAAGTCTAACCAAATCCTCTTGTCATTGTCATTGCAACTTCATGTCACGTTGGTAAATTTTCACAATCATGTATGTTTTAGGGGTCAGTAAATACATATTCAGAAATAATATCTGTAATGTGGCCTATGATGTAAGTTCACCAACAAATTAGACGAAAGAATTTCATCAAACCAGGGTTGTTCGCACATTGCTTTTGTTCCACGGCTTGAGTTACGTTACAAATCAACTAAAGGGTTCCAACAGAAATCTAAAAATAAAATCCCATGACTTTCCACGACTTTCCATGATAGCTTTAAATTCCAGAATTTTTCCAGGATTTTTCCATGCCTGTGGGAACCCAGCAACGATAGTTGACCACTGGTACGTAATCACACTTTGTTGTAGGTCACATTTAAATTACATTGCTTCTTTTGGCAGTAACACACATGTGTGTACAGGGAGGGGCTTTCATTCTTTTCCATGTAAGTGGCAAACCGTAGCCAAGTAATTTAGATCCTGCCTAAGTCAATTGAATCAGAGGGTTTATACTCAGGAAATCAGAAGTAAAAACTAAACTCTTGTGACAGTTATGAGGTTAGGACCCTACAATTAATTCTCCCCTTTTCAATTTTGGTCTACCTCCAACCTAGACAGCTCCCTGGTGTAGACGTCGATGCTGTCTTGGTCATAGAGAACAAAATACACCTGCTTGAGAGACGAGGACATTACGGTCACAAAGTACTTGCTGATGGTCTGCAGGATGGTCTCCGCTGCAGTCTGTTTGGGAAACCCATTCCTGAAGCAGAGAGCAAATTTTCATCATTAAGGATTGAAATTTGTAGGAAGTTACGGAGGTCTATGGATGCATTTCACATGAGGTGAGATTTCCAATGATACCAAACTTGTTAAATGAGACGGACTCGTATTCAAGACTTGAGACTTGAATGGGCATGCTCTAAA